TCCCGGTGGCAGCTTGTGGGCTTGGGCATCGACCACGTGATTTGTCTGGGCGAGCTGAAAATGTCCATGTTGGCTTCTGCGACTCTCTGTCCTGCGTTTTTGCCCTTCGTGGCGAACTGCGTGAGGAGTTGCGAGGGAATCCCGCGAAGGTGTGGACGAAGGAATGAAACAGAGCGACCCACATATCTGAGCCACTGTTCTGGTTGGCAGGCACGGCCCAACTAGGTCCGACCCCTGCTCTTTCTCTCGCCCCCTGTTCGGCACGTAGGACGAAGGCTATGATTCACGTTTCTTGGTTGGTAGCCTGCTCGTGGCCTGGCCGATCGGATGCACGTCTCACCGGGTTTTGGTACAGGTGCGATGCTGCTCTTGCCGTCTGTAGATTTCCTACTGCCATTCGCGCGACCCCCCCCCCAAGAAAGAAAAACGCAAGGATTATAACCAGCTTCTGGTCCACCCTTGTGAAACGCAGCCTGGACCGGCGAAAACCCCAGCATATCGCTCCGTCCGGGCATTCCGAGGTGAATGTTCCAACGACTACGGCATGCGTTTACATGAGTACCCCCCCCCCCCCCCCCCCCCCCCCCCCCCCCCNGGTTGGACCCCTTTGGGAACACGGGGAAAATCAATCCGCTGGAAACACCTCAGGTGCAGAGCCCCCGACGGCGAAGGGGGGCCCGGCGGAGGGGATTGGCTCGACGACTACTCGGTGGGGACCCAGTTCGAGGTCTATTCCGTCCCGATGGAGGTTATCTCGGAGGACTCGAGGCTGTGGAGCATGAGCTTTAGCAGGTAAGCTAAGCGTCTGTGTTAACTCTACGGTACCCAGCCGGTACGTGGGAGTCGCGGTTGTGTTGAAGTTCTGCTGCTGAATACTTCGTAGTTGCAAACATTTCCGTAGCGGCCCGGGATGATAGCTGGCACGTTGGGGCACATGCCGTTCAGCAGGAACGAGCGATTCGCTTTTTTTTCTTGATGCGATGCTGATTTTGTGTGGTTTTGTTGGTGTTATTCGCCATGTTCGTTTTCCTACGACCAGCATGGGGCTACGCGTTGATGGTCTCCGGTTGTACTGGCACTCGTTGGTGGCACACCAGTGTCTGCTTCTTGTTGTGCAGTGAAAGTCTTCGCCGCAACGGGAATGGCTGATCCTCGTCCGACCCCTCCCCCCTCCCCCCCTTGATTCTCATCCGTGGGAAAAACTGACACAAATGGGCGCACCTGTCGAGTGAGGTCGCTAACGCTTGTGTGTCTCTACTGCCATCGTCTGCTGATCTAGATATTTGACAAGGACACTACACAACGAGAAGCGAACACGCGGAAAAGCTTGCACTCATGGGTATGCACAGAGATGACTTAAACCATCTCTTCACGCGTGCGCATACCGCCGTGTTTATGTATTTATTCCGTGTGGTGTGTCGACACAACTCACAGCAAAACGAGACACCCACAACCCATCAACTGATGCCACCCCAACACCATACCACCCTCTCACGCCCCCCCCCCTGCACACACACACACAGAGCGGCCCGCACGATGTACGACGAGTCGGAGGGCAAGGTTCTCCTCCTCGCCGTCGCGGAGAACTGCGAGCCCTCCGCCTTCGGCACCTTCACCCACCACCAGCGGCTGAGGCGCACCATAAGCTCCAGGGCCGGCAGCACCCATTCCTTGCACGGCCTCGGCAGCGGCTTCTTGGAGGCAGCCGCCGCCGCCGCAGCGGCGGCCGCCGCCACCGCCGGCGAGATGGCGCGGAGGCCGAAGGCGGGCAAGAAGAGGAAAAAGAATGTGGAGGAGGAGAAGGAGTACGCCACGGTGGAGGTGTTCCCGGACGAGAGCTTCAGGTTCACCATCGACTGCCACCTGCTGGTCCTCGCTGAGACGCAGATCCTCGCGGAGGACCTGGTGTTCAACTTCCAGGTGAGCGCTGCGCGCTTGCGAGCTTGCATTTTGCTTTTCGTACAAGCGTGTTTTTTTGTTTATTTCTTTACAACGACATGTTACTTCTTTTTCTTTTCTTTGACACACACAACAAATTGTTGTCTTGTTTTTTTTTTCTTTCTGTCAGCGTTTCTTTTGTCCTCCGGGTCCTGCCGACGTGTTTTGCGCCAGCTGGTGCTGGAGCGAACGACCTGCGGACGCACTTTATGCCTTCGGATTCTAGTGTTGACTGGCCGTAGGGGGATAACACGCGTCGGTGGGGCGGTTAGTAGGACGTTCGCAGGGTCTCACGGCCGTATCGGCCCCGATTGCGCTCGCACGGACGACGAACTCCAATCTAGCCACGTGTCTGAGGCTTCGACAAGAGCGGAGGGGGAGGAACGCGAATGATTTTTTGCAGACGAAAATACTACCTTCTTAGATTGTTCTGTACGAACGAGATGCTCTTCACCTTTTGTTCGGTATCCCGGACTAGAGGGCATTTATGCACCGTGCTCTGTACAGCAGTATGACCAAACTATCTGCCGTCGCGAGGCACGCTGAAACCGAAGTGGCGGTGCTGGCAAGGCCGACTTCAGCGAATGCGAAGTCCTTCCCTTCACCGCGTGCACGCGCCCGCGTATTTCTTGCTCTGGCCGCAAATCACAACCACACCAACATCTGACAAGGCCAACGAAGAGGAAGAAGTGCGCCGTTCGAGATCCGCCGCCGTCTCGATGGCGAGCGTCAGGGCCATGTCCGCGTACATGTCGGCGGCCGGCGGCGCCGCCCCGATGGCGTCAAACGTGGCTCCCGGAGGAGCTCGTGGCACCGCCGCCGCGGGCAAACCGTCAGCCACTGCCAACGGTCCTGGCAACACCGCGCCTCCGGCCGGCGGCTCTGCCTCCTTTACTTTCTCCAGCCGCCCCCCCAATGTAGTGGTGGCGAGCCACGGCGATATGCCTGGGGAAACCGGCGGGGGGGGGGGGGTCGAGCTCTCCTCTACCGGTACTGGCGGCCTGGAACGTGACGATGATGAGCCGCAGCAATTGCAGCACCGCAAGGGTTTCCCCTCCAGGGAAATCCTGTCGGCGAAGTCTCTCGCCAGCTTTCAGAGCAGTCCCGCGTCGAGGTGGGTGCGGTTGCTGGTTTACCGCGGATTTTTTCGTCAATTCCCGGCTGTGCCTGGCAGTTTCGGCGTCGGCTCGGCTCAGAGCCGCAAGTGCAGCCACGAAACCGCTGTCCGGAGCCCTAGTTTTGTGGATGCTGTGCCGATTTCGGCGATGTCTGTGCCGCGCTCATGCTTGCTTTTTGCCCTCCCCTTTTAGGTGTTGCGAATGTTGTCGACAGTGTTACCTTACGCGTGCTTAGCCCCCCCTGGACGTGACCACACCCCGTTTCTCCCTTTAAACCACGCAAGATACGCACAGGTCTGCGCTTTTTCTTTTGCGCTCCTTGTCCGTGAGACGTACGGCAGGGAAAATAACCATTCCCCGCTGATGCCACCCGGCACCCGATCTGCCAATGCGCCTGAACGACGCTCGTTGCCTCCCGTCCGAGCCTGAAGTTGGTGTTTTGGTCCCCTCCTCCCTAACCCAGAGGCTTGCGTTCACTATTTTACCACCCACCCCGCATTACATCCGCGTCTTTGCGCTGTTCGTGTTGTGGCAGCGTGGCGGCGTCGACGGCATCCAGGAGAAGCGCCGTCTTTTCGACAAACAGCATCCTGAGTATTGACGAGGAGATCAAGAAAGAGCTCGCGTCCTTGAAGAAACAAGTGTGAGTTCTTCGGAAGAGAAATGCCGGTGGCGGGTGAGGTGGGGAACGTATACAAGTGGTACACAAGGTTCAACGTTCTGATCAAAACAAACACGTCTGAGGTTCTTCGAGGCGCGTGGCATGAGGTAGTAGGTTGGGGGGGGGGGGGGGGGG